GGGCGGGACGGGTGCGGACGCCGCCATGCCCTCGCTCGGGGACCGGGTGCGCGACTGGCAGCGGGGCGTGCAGGCCGTGGAGCGCGGGGACTGGGGCTGCGCCCTGCGCCTCTTCTCGGGCGTCCCGGAGCCGCCCGCCAAAATGTGCTTCAACGTGGGCTGCGTGCACCTGCTGGCCGGGGACCCCGAGGCCGCGCTGCGGGTGAGCGGGCGCCGGGGGGCCGCTGAGCCTCTGCCAATGGGGGAGGCTGTTGCCTGGCACTGGGGGCCCTCCTGACCCTGCGCGGGGCGTGAAGAGGACCCGCCTGCGGGGATAAGCCCCCCGCCCCCCCTTCCTCCGGAGGCCACCTGGGGATGTCCGCTCAGCGTTCTGCCCCGGTGAACCCCTAAGGCAGGTGGGAGCTGTGTGGTCAGGGGACCCTCGCCTGAGCTGAGGCGGCCAGCAGGGGGTGCAGGCTTCTCACTGCCTCCTCTCGGCGACGACCAAATGCCAGGCTCTGCGGTCATGGGGCAGGGCCGCGGCCGACACCTGCGCAGGTGCTCACCCAGGTGCTAACAAACCTGGAAACAAGCTCCAGGCTGGATCCGGCTGGGAAGGGGCCTACCTGTCCCCCAAGGGGTGAAGTTTGGGGCAAGGGGTTTCACCAGATGCCTGTGATGATGGTGAGGCGACAATTCTTTGCCCAAACCCCAGACGTGAGTGCTCATGTGTCTTCCAACCCGCTCCCCAAAACAGAACCAAGAGCTCAGGGGTGCACAGGGACCCACACACCTGGTTCCCCCGAGGGGGCAGCAGAGAGCCACGCTGCCCTTTAGAGGCTTTATGTTCACCCAGCGCTGCTGGTCCCCGACTTCTGTCGGAGAAAATGAAAGGGAAAGACGGTGCCACACGGAAGAGCAGCCCTGTCAGTGTCTCCCAGACTCCTCCACTGGAGGGGCCTGGGCAACGTGCACAGGGGACCCCGTCATTTCTGACCTTGCGTACGAAGCCACAGTTCTCAGGAGCCTTTTCAGTTCAAATGTTGCCCAAGGAAGGGAGCCCGGCCACTGGACGCTGGTCCTCACTTCGGTAAACTGATTTAACGAGAGAGGGGACGCAGGTTGTGGCGAGGCGTCCAGTCTCCCCTGCCCCAAAGGAGGGGCCGCAGTGCTGTCTAAAGTCAAAGCAGACGGGACAGCTACCATTAGTAATCGTCCTGGGGGTGGCCCAGGTGAGGAGGGGGTGCTGGGACTGCTCTGCTGTGTGAGCTTCAGCCGAGCCCTGATCAGGATGCTCCGGGTGGCGGGACAGCAAACGAGGGCTTCCATCGGCCCTGAGTGGCCACCACTCAGGACCTCCGAGCGCACCTTTGACCTTGGGTTGGATTCAGTTTGACAAGCCCCCCCCCCCAGACTAGTGAGAGTAAGACCATGACACGGCTCCTGCGGCCTCTGTCCCCGTTAGGGACAGATGACGTCACTTCTGGGTGCGGTTTAAGGGAGAGCCGCGTTGTGCTTTCTGACTCACTGGATGAGAAGTGTGTCATTGTGCGTGAGCTACCAAAAATAGGACCTACAAAGACAGAAACCTTGCATAACCACATCCCCCAGAGGTAACCATCATCGCTGTGCGGGGCTGCCTCCCTCTGTCCGCTCTCTGTCCTCGTGGTAAACAAAGTGGTTTGTGACACTGCCTCCCCGCACTCTGAGCCCCCACCAGGCGCCTCAGGGGCTCAGGTGTGTGGGGGGTTAGGTTGTAGCAGCGAGGGGAGCTGAATGGCCCTGCGCACGCCTACGCGTGAGCTCTGAGCGCCCCTGGCCTGGTAGGGGGCTTTCACCCACAGGTGGCTGTCGCAAGGCCCATGGATGGAATTCCTTGGCCCTGTCCCTGGTTGTCCTTCTGCACTGCGTCTGTGACAGGGGGTGGCGGGTTACAGATCTTGGCGCTCCAAGGGCATTTTTATCCCCAGGCATTCGACCAGGCAGTGAGCAAGGACGCCTGCCTGGCTGTTGGCTTCCTCCAGCGAGGAGTGGCCCACTTCCAGCTGGAGAGGTGAGCACAGGCCTCCTTGTTACTCCTCTGACAGTCCCTTGTGTTCCTGCCTCCGCCCCCCTCCCGGGGGTCACCTCCTCCTGGACGGGAGTGGGACGTGAGGCAGAGCCACAGTCTCTGGTCTCTGTGAGGCTCACACAGCACCATTGAGGGCATCCCCTCCTTTGTCCCTCACCATGGCTGCTGTAGCAGGACTGGTGTGGAAACCGAGGGCAGGGCTGGCGTGGTGGGTCCCAGCACCCAGAGGTGCTTGGAGTTCTCACTGCTCGCCAGGGTGTCTGCACTGTAGCCCTTCCCAGAGACAAGCCTGGCCCCAGGACAAGCCACACAGAAGGCCCCACACTGGGCACACAGGCTCAGCCCAGGAGCCTCCCTGGGGGAGGGGGACCGGTGGAGTCAGGGAGCTGGCAGCAGGGCTCTGCAGGGGAAGGCCTTCAGGGAGTGGGGGGCCTGAGAAGCAGGAGGGAAATGCGCAGGGCACATTTGGGGTTCCAAAGAGGGTCTGGGGTGCAGACAGGGGCCCCAGGCAGGGGAGCAAGATGCCCAGAATTCAGAGTTGGGCACCACCCCACACTCAAGATGCAGCCACATCTGAGCATTGACCCCTTGTGCCCTTCGTCAGGACCTGAGTGACCACTACTGCCCCCAGCAGATGTCCCTGGAGCTGGGGCAGGGCTAGGCCCCTTTTCCCTGCTGAAGCCCCACCCTGTTCCCGGCTGCCCGCAGGTTCCAGGAGGCCTTGTCCGACTTCCAGCTGGCCCTGGCGCAGCTGAGGGGGAACACCGTCATCGACTACACACAGCTGGGTCTGCGGTTCAAGCTGCAGGCCTGGGAGGTGAGCGTGTGAGAGGTGGGGCCCGCGGGGCCTCCAGATGCTGTCCATGGGGAGGTGGCCCAGTGGTCCTTCCAGGGCTCTTGATTCCTGCAGGCCCCGTCCTCTGGGCCCCGTTGTCTGTTACTGTCACAGGTGGGGCTCTGTGGACAGAGGCTTCCTCTCACCAGGGTGCTCCTCAGTCCCCACTGGTCACTCTTCTACCCCAAGGAGGCCGGGGCCCCGGTGGAGAGGGGCATTGGGAGGACCCCTCATACTCCCAGCATGCCCAGAAACACACTGCCTTGGAGCCCCCTGGGAATCACAGAGAAAGGCCCGTCAGGTGTGGGTCCACAGCCCACCTGTGTCCCCTGGCCCAGGGCACTGAACAGAGCAGGTGGCTCCCACCAGGCCCTGGTGCAGGGTCCCCAGTGGGTGGCCAGCCGGCTCCAGGAGCATGGTCACCCGGCAGGCCTCAGGGACAGCAGTTTCTCTTGTTGGAAGAGCACCTGCTGTCCCCCTCAGGTCCCTGCTGGTGACAGCCTTAACCCAATCCAACATTTCCATCAAAAGCCCTTTCCATGGCAGAGGGGACAGGGCAGAAAAAGGCAGCCCCCCAGACCCAGGGGGTGCAGTGCAGGGAGGAAAGGGCCATGAGGGGGTCCTGCCAGATGCAGAATGGGGTGAGACAGGCTAGAGGATGCCCCAGAGATGGAGATGGGCCAGAGCGATGGGCCACTGGGAGGGGGTGTCCCAGAGAGTGACCACCACTGAACCAGGTAAGCTTCACGTGGCTGGGCACCCAGAAGAGACCTGGCAACTGTGGCTGGGGAACATGCCAGCTGGACCAGGCGTGGGACCTGGTAATGGGATTGGGGGAGGGGCCATGAGCAGGCCAAGGGCTTGGCTTGGGCCAGAGGATTGCCCTAGGAGTGGGACAGGGCCGGGCCCGGCTGCTGCCTCACCTTTCGCTTGGCTTCCAGGTGCTGTTCAATGTGGCAGCGACACAGTGTGGGCTGGGGCTTTGGGCCGAGGCCGCCCGCAGCCTGGAGGAAGCCATCTCCAAGGGGCCGGGAGGGGCCCGCGGCGACCTGAACGTTGCCCTGGCTCAAGTGCAGGTGAGGCGCAGGTGAGGACAACCAGGCCAGCCCTGCCCCGGGCTCCTGAGCTGACCCAGACTGGCTGACGGGGCCCAGAGCCTGCAGTTTGGGGCTCACATAAGTACAGACCCCTCAGGACCAACTGTCTGAGATGGAGAAACTTCCGGAGGGAGGTGGCCATGTGCCCAGGTGTGGAGGCTGGGCGAGGGCTTTGTATGGCCTGTGGGAGGAGGTGGTGGCCCCAAGTGGCCCCTTTTGCTCCAGAGCTCAGGGGCTCCCGCAGGTGCGGCCCGATCAGACACAGGTCTGCACAGGCCAACTCCCTCCAGAAACAGGTTCCCCTGCAGCCTCGGAGGGTCCCCAGGGGCGAGGTCTTCCGGCCTCACAGGCGGCACCTGGAGCACCTGGAGCCCGTGGATTTCCTGGGCAAGGCCAAGGTAAAAGGGGGGCTGCTTCTCGCTTCTCAGACCCCACATACTCAGGAGCCATCACCTCCTGACCTGGCCACCGCCTGCTGTCCCTCACCAGGTGGTGGTAGCCTCTGCCATGCTCACTGACCAGCACCAGGGCGTTCGGCCGCGGCAGCCCCAGGTGGGTGGGTGCCTTCCCCCTCAGCCTCCTCCTCTGGGTTTTGTGGGTCAGAGCGCTGCAGGCCTCCCCTGCCGAGGAAGGGAGATGCTGAACCTGCTCTGAGCCCTCCTGGGCTCCCCAACTTCCCTCTGATCTGAAATTGGGGGTGGCCATCCTATCCCATGGGACAGCCTGAAAATCACAGTCTCCCCTGGGAGAGCCCTGCCAGCCAGCCTGCCCTGGCACCACCCCCCTATGGGAGTCTATGCACCAAGCAGGATGCCGCTCTGCCCACAGGTTCAGGATGACCATGGTGGAGCCAGGCCCCGGGCTGGCCCAAGGTAGGAAGGGGTGTCTCCCCTGTGTGCTTGCTTCCGGCCAGGGGCCAGGACTGTCATGTCCTTTCTCAGGTTGATACTGGCCAGAGCTCCCAGGACTGGGGGCACCCAGCCTTTCTCAGCCCTTCTGTGTTCATATTTGTCCAGAGGCTCAGGGTTCCCCCTGTCCTGCTCCCATCGGACCTCCGCTCAGGCCTCGATGGGCTCCAGGCAGCGTGGAGGGACAGAGTGAGGTGCCGGGGAGGGGCGCAGGCTGGGCTGCGTTGTGAGGTAGGCACCCCCTCCCCCACTGCCAAACCTGGGCCTTGGAGAGGGGGTGGCTCTGACTGGTGCAGTTCAAGGTAGCACAGGGCATGGAGGCAGAGCAAGCCCCACGCCTGGGCCAGGCTCCCCATAGCTCCTCTGCTCTGCACTCAGGGCTCCCTCAGGCCCACCTTTGGCAGAGCTCTTGACCAAGGGCGCAGCCGGGTCAAGAGAATGAGCCCTGAGAATGGGGCCCCCTCCCCCCAGGGTGCACGACACAGGCTCCTGCGGATCTGGCACCCCCCTCCGCCCCGGGACGCCCTCCGGCGCAGACATGGAGGTCGCGTCTGGCCAGGCGGGGCAGGCCGACCACCGCGCACCCGTCACCTCTGATGAGCAGGTGTGTGAGCCAGGGTGGGGATGGGCAGGGAGGACTCCCCACCCCTGGCTGAGCGTGGGGGCCAGTGGCCACCGCTGGACATCACAAGGGTCTCAGAGCAGGGCAGGCAGCCTCCTTGCCCGCTGGGAGACAGAGCTTTGACTCCCTCCGTCAGGCCGGGGATATGGGGGAAGGCAGGCTGCTGCTCTCTCCAGTGCAGACAGGGCCTGGTGGTCCCTGGGGGGGACTGGCCTGCAGCCCACAAGTCTCTGCTGTCTCCCACCCCTCAGTTGGGGCCCCCATCACCCCTGCCTCCTTTCCTGGACATGGGAAGCCCCCAGGTGCTGGGTGAGGCTGAGGAGGAAGGGACTTGGGCTTCACTGGCAGGTGCGGCCAGAGGGGGTCCAGCCACACACACAGAAAGCCATTCAGTTTCACAGTTTATCAAGGACTTTGTTCACCGATGCTCCCACCACGCCCTGGCCCCCATCCCTGCCCCACCACTGCCTGGCCC